CGCTTGTGTTTTCCCGAAATTAGTGTTCCCTTAAATCTTGCTATCATTTTTGTCTTTTTTCTGTAAAAGCTTTTAATTTACATCAAGCGTTTTTGACACCTCTTTTTGGGGCTTGCGGTTGAAAACCCTTTGCAATGCCGTTTTTTGGTTTGTGCTATCCCCAAGTTGATTCAATTTGCGGTGGACATTTCATTTCATTCGGTCAGTGTCAGGTATTGGCCGTTGTCAAGTCAAGGCTTTAAACACGAGTTCCGTTTGCCTGTGGCTTCTTTTTTCTAAAGAAATCCCTGCCATCTACGGACATGGCCTTTTGAATCTTTATGGCCAGGCTTTGCTCTCTCTATCTGTATATAACTTTTTGCACAGAGAAAAAATATAAAACAATATATATCAATTGTAAGGTATGAATTACTTACTTACTTTTTCAATAAATCTTTATTTATAAAAATGGCTAGTTTTCGAATTTTAGATAAACAGTTATTTATACTTCAATGTTTTTTTGTAAATATTTCCTGAATAGACTTTTTTCTCAGTGCACCAATGGTCAACTCTCCTGTACAATTAAAAATTCTTTATGCACTTGCCTCGACTTGCACTCGCACTCTGCCGAAGATTGACTTGTCTCGGTGGCCATGAGAAAATGTGTGCATCTCCGGGCATTTCTCTTCGTCCATCAGGTGGGTCAGTACTTTATATGGCATATGGTAAATGTAAATGGAGAAAAGGGGGCGGGGTCGGTCACGCAAGGCGGCAGTTAGAGGAAACCCTATTAATGTCAAGTTCATTGCCACAATCCATCACTGGCGGAGAAAGGGAGGAGGCTATGGAGGCACTTTGCCGAGACGAGAGGCGATTTATTATTATGGTCAATATTGTGCAGGCTGCAACATTTCATTAACTTGGAAAACTTGTTTTGCAGAGTTCCGTCTCTTTTGCTGGCGGATTTGTCCAAGTTTAGCTGTAGCTGCACTTGAAATTGGTCAGACATTGAATATTCGGGTTATCTGCTGATAAGAGCGCGTGAATTTCGGCCCACCAGTCAATAATAAATATATTTTTATATATATATAACAATTTGTATCTTATCTTGGGAGCCACGTGGCAAGGCAAATTGAATTTGACCGCCTCGAATATGCAATTTAAATTGACATGCAACTTGCACTCTTCACTTTTTTCAAGCTTCACTTTTCGCAACTCACTTTGCTGCTGCAGACCTTGGAAAAGCAATTTTCCGCTGCGACAATAAATTATGAGCTTGTCGAGAAGGAGGAAAAAAGTGGAAAAACACAGGACTTGTGAAAGTTGTGAGAGTAGAGGCCCTGTTTTATCACCGCCACTTTGCATGTTCATCTATTTTATGTATGGTTAACGCCCTAAAATGGTTTACCATTTTCTGTAGCTATTTTTATGGCCACATTTCTTACGGGATTTTCAATTGCTTTAATGGCTCTCGTACCGATTCCAATTGTAATTGCAACTCTAGCCTTATTGCGATTATCTACTACTTGGCCATAATTATTATCCCATGACGGGGGGTGGGGGGAATCTGGTTGGGTATTTGGCAATTAAAATTGCTGCCACGCCTCCATTTAATGTAACACTTACATGCTCCACTGCGCGAGTAATTTACCAGCATATTTTGTTCAATTTATTTCGCATGCCTAACTTATTGTTATTATCATTTTTTCGCACTGCCATAAAAGTCGGGGAAAAACGTTATTGCAGCTACTAAAAGCGGCTTACGGCGGCGGACTTAACTGTGAATTAGAAATACTTTTCCTGATTACCGTCTAGTAGCGATGATGGGGCATGCAATCTGATAATACGGTTGATTATGAGGCGGAAAATATGAAGAATGCCTGGGAGAATTGGAAATTGAGAAGCACTTAAACAGATAACTTATAGAACTTTACCGTGGCGATTTAACTGTTGATTATGGTAAATTATGTGGATGTTACGTTAGATAAGATTTGTCAGAATTGCAAAAGTAATTAAACTTAAGAAAAAATGTTTGCCTAATTTATTTCTTAAAATATAAAAATAAAATTTCTTAGTTTCAGAAAAGGTTTTGATTTAATTTTAATTATCTCTTAAAAAACAAATAGTTTAACAAAAATCTCTTTTTTTAAGGACTTAATTGTTTTGTTCCGAAAAATATTAAACATTCATTATTTTTCTATTTATAAAAATTACTTTTTTACATGACTTTTAAAGTCCCTATTGTTTCGCCCATTCTACCTAAAGTATTTTTTTAAACGACCTTTCAACAAACATCAAAAAGCCACCCACCTGGCTCAATTCACTCACCATTTAATCTCTTCAAAAAGAAGGAAATAAGAACGCTTCTAACATTTTCCCACTGCCAGCCACTTTTTATTGGTCTGTCCGCAGTTCGGTGGACCAGACATCCCACATAAAACTTGGCTCTTAATAAGGCAAGACAGCATCGCAGTCGCTGGCAGAACATTTCTGGTCTGAAAAACCAATTTCTGGCATTACATGGCCTTTATGGCGGAGTCAAGCGGCTCATCGGTGTTTCAGTTTTAGTTTTAGCCGCTTGCTTCTGCTTTTGCACCGCAAAAGGTCGTGAAAAAGTTGTTTACTTCTATACTCTTTAGCCATCGCAGCTTATGAGGCCATAAAAAGCCAAGGGAATGGGGAGTTTGAGGGAGGAAAAAGCCACCATCTAACCGGGTCTATAATAAAACTAAAAACATGACATGCAGAGAGGCAACTTCAATGTAATTTACATGAGAAACCTTAAACGAAAAACAGCGAGCGCTTTTGTTAATTTGTTTTAAACAAAGTATTGTAAAAGTTACAGTGGAACTCATTTCGAGCGGCCTTGATACGAAGAGCTCTCGAAAAGCAACCTCTTAACGCATGTCTTTGATTGAAAGTTATGACATCTAATAATTATAATCAAAGCCAACGAGTTGTTTTCGCTGTTGCGCTGACATGATTTATACGCATCTCGAAACCAAACTTGATAATCACATATGGCCCGAGCCGACATCAAACCGTTATGAGCCGACGCAACCGCAAAAAGATCTCTTTTCCTCCAATCTCGATCCAACCAACAATCTCTCGAAGCCAATAAACCCAGCCAGCTAATGATATGGGCTTTTTGGTTGAGGAGAAATCTGATTGATTGTAATTAAAGTCCCCGCCAGACAGGCAGATTCTAATGCCAATTTATTGGCACTTTCAGGCGGCATCTAGTTTATGAAACGCAAATGTCAAGCGACAATTGCTGGAATAGCATGGTATTTATGAGTAGGATGCTGGCAATGGTTGGAAAAAGGAGGTAACTTGGCCACAACGACATTGTTCAGTGTTCTACAATCAAATTGAGGTCGTGTGGTAGAAGAAAATGTCAGACGAAAAGGCCTTGAAGTTATACACACAAGGGGATAAATGGTTTAATAAACATCTTTGTCATAATAAAATTCATAGCTGTTGTTCTTGTTATTAACATTGGGTCTTTTAAGCACATTTTTACAATAACATACTTAAAAAGTGTTTCTAATTGAAATTCTCATTTTATAAATACAAATTGAAAACTTTTTAAGACATTTTTAAATATAGTTTGTGTAATGTAAATACTAATAAGAATCTTATAAACTATTTATATTTTGGGATTCTAAATTCCTTCTACTTAGTTTGGTACGAAATTCGTATTCTTTATCGGACTTGTTAAATGAAAATTCCCTGTCTCCTTACAAATAATATTTTATTAGCCTAACATGTTCACCATTCAAAACTTGACTACCACCCATGACTTTCACTTTCAATTCCACACACTCTTGTACTATCTATTAACCAATTGAGCTGTTCAGGTCACTATCTATTATCTCCCAAAACTTCACGACCTGCCCCAAGTAACTCGTTAAACGTGGATCCCAATTTAGTTAAATTTTTTCGTTTTGTTTAACCATTTGATTACACCCACCACGATTTTCTCACGCACTGTAAACGAGTGAAATTGTTGAACAACAATAAATTATACAATTACAATGCGCGCTGAATGATTTTCAGCTTGAGAGTTGAGTTGCCGCAGAAGGCCGACGAAATTTATGAGTTTACCTTGCGGACAAAGACCCGAAAATAGACAAATCGGGGAGTTTGTTGGGGGGCAAATTAAGGCGACACTTTGATTACCCACCCAAAAGCTAATAACATTGTTATTGTTGACTGATGACTGACGATGCCAGCTACTGAAAAACGCTGTCTGTTTATCAATTGGCCGAACTTTCTCCCCGGTTTTTCGGTTTCAGTCGATTGGGCTCGACTTAAACTCTTATTTTTTCTCCCCTTTAGACTTGCTGCAGCTCCAAATGAAACTAATTGCTTCCGTTCGCAACATTTCACCTTCAATTCTCCCGGCGAGAAACCCTAAGGCAAACCCCTCGAAAGAGAGCTCAAACTAATTTCGTATGCCTCCGAGGGCCACCTTAAAAATGTGGCCATTCTATTTGGTTTCGTTGGATAGCTTTCGGATGTTTTTTTGGTTCATTGAACTTGAAATTACACTAAAGAAAATGTAAACGAGTCATGTAATGAGATTAGTCATTGTTGAAATTAAAATTACATAAAATCAGGGCTTTAAAAAATAAAATTGTTTATGAAAAACAAATACTTCCTTTAAAAAAGTTTGTATCGAAATTAAGTATATGTCCTAACAATCTTGACAAATCTCGGAAATAATGGGTAATTAATTATTTATTTATTTTAAATTTGTAAGAAGAACCTAAATTACAAAGATTTTTAAATTAATAAAAAAGTTTGTATCTAAGTAAATTATTTTTTTCATAATTTTAATATAAATAAAAGAACTTAAAAAAACTAAAGAAATTTTGCTCTGGCAGTTTCTTCCTTATTTATATTACATATCTAATAATATTTGTTTTCCGTGTAGCATATAAGTTTCGATTTCTGTTAACTGCATTTTCGCTCTCCTAACTTTTATTTGCGTTTGTTTCTTGCATTGTTTTTTGCAGAAATTTGCATTTTCATCTTGCGCAAAAGGCAAACGAACAAACAAATATGCTGACACCGATGAGGCCAGCGGTGGGTTGATTGGCTGACAACCACGACGTCCACATCCAAGTCCACAAACAAGAAAAAACGACCAGACACGCTTCAGTGCCATCGAGTGGGAGGAAGTAGTGGTAGTAGTGAGGTGGAGAGGAAGGAGCAGCATCATCATCACCTGGCTCAACTTGAATACGAAAAAAGCTAACAAAAAGCAAGAAAAAGCACAAAAAAACACACACACCAGCACACTACAAACACCACGCCACAATGACAAATGTTTGGAGCGGAGCCAGGCTTTAGGTGTTGAGCAGGTTTAATCAAACAACAAAGGAAAAGCCGAGGAGGCCAACGAGGAGGAAGGACACCACACCGAGCAAACACCTGAATTGGACAAGAGAAAGGTTAGTCCAGTTCGACTATCATAGGGCAATAAATCCAAGTGCTGAGCGGGTTTAATTTGAGTTAGTCTGAACTTTGGAATGCCCATAAATTTCAATTACACTTTTCAATTTAAAATAGTTCATGTTTGTTGCCGAAAATGGGAAATATGCTAAGCTAGACAAATAATTATCGTTTTACTATGCTACAAACTGAAATCGGAATACATCATCAACATTATTACATTATTATTAATGAAATATTACAACACCTGTATTACTTCCTCACTTAAAATATATTATGTGTGTATTGCTTTAAAAATCATGTGCAAATATGCCATGCTAGAAAGTTTGTTATAAGAATATGTTAATTTTTGTTTCCAAAATGTTTTTTTAAGTACATATTTTGTGTTATTGTAATAATTTTTCCGTTGCTCGACCTCAAAACGACAATTTATGCATATACCAGCGTAAAGCTGATGAAGCATAATCCTTTCTGCCTAGTCATACCTTAGGCAATGGGAACATTTGGGCTGTAAGTCGATGCAAGCCCGCTCCCAAAGCAGCCACAAATGTTTTTTAGCAGCCCATTTCCCACTTAGGCCATAAAAAACTCGCTTACACATACACATGTGGCGAATCCTTAGCCAAGTTTGTAGATCCCTGGGTTCCTTAATTATGCGCACATGAGACTCATTCGGGGAAAATGCGAGGACAACGGCGCCAGGCTTGCGGTCTCCTTTAATTTACCACCACTCGAGGGGGGAAGTAGTCACAATTTGGAACATTAAATGAAATATATAAAATAGATAATAGAAAAAAAACATGTAGCGCTAGGATGATAAAATCAAACATGTACAAATACAAATTTTGGCATAATTTTTCTTTCTTGTGCATTTTAAAAAAGCCAGGTGTATAATTTTGTATAAAAGGTGCTTTTTACCTGTAAACTATACAAATTTTATTGAAACCATTTATTAAAAAACGCCTTAAATTTAAGAAAGCAACAAACAATTTTACATTTCAGAAAATAATTTCTAATTTAATTTAAGAAAAACGTTTTTATAGTGAATTTAAATTTATTATTATTTCGCCAACGGTTTTTCTTAGTTCCATAACGCGGAGTTAAGCGACATATTTTAGAATTTTCCTCTGTGCAAAATGGGACACCTAGTCGGTTGCCACCTGGCATAGAAATATGCAAAAAAGCCACCATCATCCTCGGAGTTTAAAAATAGTTGGCCATCGTCGCCATGCCGGCGACACTCCAGTTACAGTATTCAGTTTTCAGTTTTCAGGCCACTGACTCACTCGCAGTCATTTGTCAGGCTTATAAAAGTCAATCGGTTCGATTATGCAAATGCATCCCGATCGATGTGTGAGGCTCTTAAACACTTTGATGCGATGTGAGGACGTATCTCAATTGGTTCTGCTCTGGGATCCATCGAGTGTGTGATGCTGCTGCTGCGGTTTATTCAATTTTGCAGGGCGCATCCTTTGAAGACCAGTTGGATGGAGTTTGCATCGTTATTTTTTTTCCTCCGTACGTAGGCCCAATCCAGTTCGGATTCTGAATCGGAATCGGAATTTCAGGTTCAGAGTGGGAGGGTGGGATCGAGTGGAAACCCACTCTTGGGGGCCAAGCGCGTGCAGACTTTGCCAACTTGTTTTCCCACCGTTTAATTGGCATAATTTGTCTAACAAGACCAACGAACCACAGGCACATAGACACATAGACATACAACATCGAGAACAACGACAACTCGTTTCGTATTCATCGCCGTTGCTGCTGCACTGGCAAATAAAACGTAGTAAATCCAAGCATTTTAACACCCAATAATTTAAAATAAGGCCATACTTATAAATGCATAATATTTAATTTAAAACGAATATAACCCATTTTAAATCTTTTTTTTCCCTATTAATTAAACTAATATTTGCATAGCATTGTATTAAATATTGTGGTTATCTATTTACTTAAAATGTCATCCATTTTAATTTACTATTCATTATTTTTTATCAGTGTGCTGCTGCGGTAACCACCGTATCAAAACATCTTGAATTGTTGTGTTCTCGTTTAATAAGTGAATGTTGCTGGCTGTGTGTTTTGTGTTCCTTGGTTAGTTTGGTTACCAGGCAGGCCTACGCGGAAAATGTCTGTTGGTCTACAAGTCTACAAGTCTGTGAGTCTGTGAGTCTGAAAGTATGTTTGCCAGACAGTTGTCACGACCGGCGAAGGTTGGGGCTTGTAATCGCAATCAAAAGAAATACAAGTTGTAAAATATTAACAAGACAGAATAATACTAAGAACTAATGCGACTCTTTTTTAAGTGGCGTCCAAGGTTGTGGTTTTTAATAAATGAAACATAATTGAAATGTTGCCAGGGGAAATCTGAAAAAAAAAATGAATAAAAAAAGGTTTTATCACATTACAAAACAGATGTGAAAGGAAGTTGTCTTTTGCTAACAAAACATTTAAGCCCTTTTTTCATATTCCTACCAATATGTTTATCGTTTCATACGAAAATTTAAGAGTTTTGGAAAATTAAAATCATTAAAACAAAGCTTTTTATGCAACAAAGAAATAAGTATCATATAGAAGATATTGCAATAAATTAAAAAATAAAATTCTTATGGAATTTGTAAATTAGTTGTAAGAAAGCTTTGAATAAATTAATATTCAACTAATTAAAATATGGAAAACCTACAATAATTCAAAACTTGTACAAATTTATTTAAATAAAAACAGTTTTTGTAAATTTATCATAAAAATAGGATAGTAAGTTCTTAAAAGGCTTAGAATGAAGACAGTTTTTCTTTGTAAATTCATTAGAGAGGGTTGTCCTCAAGTTAGCCCCGATCTCATTGTTCACAGCCTCTGCGTTGGTTCCCAAGTTCATTGTCATTGCTGCTGTTCCGATTCCTATATCCATATCATATTAAGAAATCATTTTCCTGGCGCCAAGTTTTTATTTCATGGGAATTGGTGGGCAATTGCACGACCTCCCAGTGGGGAACCTTTTTATATGTGGTGTGGTGCGGTGGTTAACGTCGCATAGGTAGGTGCCTTCACTAATTGCAACCAATCTTTTGTGCCCGCCACTGCCACTCCACTTGCACCACTTCTGTGCCCCCGGAGTGCCATTGCCGTTTACAATGGGGCCATCATTTCATTGTTGACATTGTTTTCTTGTTCACGCTCAAGAGACTGAATGTTGACGCAATTATAACACATGGCGTAGTCGTCGTCGTTGTCGTAGTCGTTGGCGACTACCCGCTGTTCACCTGGCCTCCTGTTTTAGCCCCCATCGCAATTCATCTCTCACCTGGATCACGTGTTTGAGCTAACGAGTGCAATTTAACATTTTGCCCAGTGCAATTAACATTTATGCAAAAATTAGAGAGACGCACAGACACCGACGCCACAACAGCAGAGGTAAACTAGTTTTTTGTCATTTGCCAGGCGCAAATTATAATCGTTATCATTACGAGATCGGGGCATTTAGCGCTTGATTATAGTATTTAATGGGGTGTCTTAATCCGTATTTATGCTAATGATAATGGTGACAGTTAGGCAGCAAAACGGTGAGCGTTAGGGTGGATTCTGCAAATTGCACGGAAACTGTAATGATTGTTATGGTTCTTTACAAATTGGGTGGACTTAGGAATTTTAAATATGAAAAACATTATATATTTGAAGAGATTTTATGTGGCAAAGGTTTGAATTACTGTTATTTGATTATATTATTTAATAGATCATGAAAATGAACTTAAAAACTTTGCAATATTTTATATTTTATTTTAAAACCAATTAGGGTACGACAAATGTTATTGTTTGAGCTATAAAACATTTTAAATAACCTTTGAAAGCAATTTTTACAAATTGGGTTAATTAAAACTTTAAAAATATCATAAAACATAATTTAAATTTAAAGCTATATCGGAATGATTTATTTTATGATTTATATGTATTCAATAATCCTTAACCAATGCTATTTATTTGTTTCATACGACTCCTTGTAAATCAATAAAACCACTTATAAAGAATTCCTACCCATTTTATCATACGATATTTATTAAGGGCTGACAAATGCTAATATTTAATCCCCCTATATATACATATATGTATATGAGCTATACATCCTTTTTAATATACCCTTGAAAGCACCTGCTGGGAGATCTTGTCATGAACTATGTATGCGATTAAATTCCGAAGCCAAGCAGCCAAGGACAAGGATTCAGAGGACCTCATGGGGCTGATATAAATAGTTGGTATTGCCTGTCATCCAAGCAACCAATCGCAATACCAATACCAATGCCACACCAAAAGCTGCATGGATTGTGCACTTGGGCAGGCTTCTGGTCGTGTCCATGTCGATGTCCTTTCACGTCCTTGCTGCTCTGGCCATTAATTTATAAGGAGGGTTGGATGGATGGAGAGAAGCTGTCGATGTCGCTGACGCTGTCATTAAATCAATATGAGCATGGCAGTCGAATAAATCTGTGAGCTCTTTAAACATTTACCAGCGGTAATTTGCAAGCCGATTTTCCCTTGGAAAGCAATTGAAACCGATGTGGCGGATACGTGATATTTTAAGTGAAGCTTTTACGGTTTTACTCATTCGCAATGTGGTGTTTGTACTTTTCAATAATAACATCAACTAGATCACCGGCTAAATTTATCTCGCTTTAATCTTTGTCTCCAACACGTCTATCTTAATTCACGGTCACATGCATTGTGCATTTCGATTAGATTAGATAAGTTTTTCCTATCCATCCGACGCCATTGTCTCGTGTTTGGGTTCTGACTTTTGTCCCGCTATTGTCTATTTACAAGACAAGACCCCCGGAGATGGTAGTATAGTATAGTACAGCCGACTGTTCAGATCCGACCTTTGTCTCTCGACTTGCCCTCCTCCTAATTGTGTGGACATGGGTGTGAGCTCACTATCTGGCCATTTGTTTACCTCTTCGCCAGTGTTTGTTCATTTTCAGCTAGTTAGACTTGTATTCTTATTGACTTTGCGATAAGTTTTGACTGTCTGCCTACTTCTCCGATAGTCTGTGTGGCACAAACTGCGCTTTTTTCCGCCTCTCCCTCTGACACATGGAGAAAAGTGTATTATACACCCACAGCTAAAGAGGTTATGATTATAAATAAGGTGGATTTGGTTTTATGTGTAATGGGGGTGGGTTATTTTCGTCTAAGTGGGGTAATGTTCGTGGAATGGGCTTAGCTTTAAGGCACAGGAAATAGCTGAGATAAGTAGCTTTAAATTTCTACCGGTGGTGTACATTACAGCTACTTTTGTTGTAACTTTTTTTCCTAATTTTTTATTATGTTTAAAATACTTTTGAAGGCAGTGCTAAGTGAAAAAAATACATATTTTGAATAAATTTATTGCAAGTTGTTATATGTTCAAGAATATAACTTTGCATATTTTTTTTTGCTAATATGTTGATTTGAAATAATAGGTTTTATACGTTGGAAAGTCAGATACTTTAGCATACAAACTCTTAATATTTCTATCGTTTAATAATGTTACAATATTTTTCATGGCAGATATTAGATTTTGGGATCGTTTTCTTAGTGGGATACAAAAAAGGAGCTTAGTTATAAAATTTATTTATGAGCCAACTTAAGAAGTTTTGGTTGAGTTTCTAGTGTTTTTAAAATGTATTAAATTTTTTTGTCTTTAGTCAGTTTAGTCCAACTCCTAAATTAATACCGGAAGTAGCTAAGACTATTAGTTTTAAAACTCTCGAGGAATTGTGTATTACATCTAAATTATTTTTTTAACTTATATGTATAACATCTAATAAAAAATGTTTATACGTTTTTAAAGTTCTCTTTAAGTTGTTAGTATTTTTCCTTGCATAATCAATATACATATTGAACAAAACGGAATATATAATATAGTGAGTAGGGCGGTTTGTGGAACCCTAGCCCAACTCGTAAATCAATACCGCCTGAGAGCCGATAACGGTTACGACCATTACCATTACCCTATCAGCTATATGGCTATATAGCTTTCAATGTCGCACCGACCGACATTCCCCACTCATGGCTCTCCGGGTCTCTCGGGGTTTCTCTTCGTCTTTCTCCGATTCTCTCGTTTCGATTCGATTCCGATTCTCAGGGCGAAGAAAGCCCCATGTCGCCTACCATCTGGCAATGCCTTCTCTTTCTCACCATAATCAGCAACAACTGAAATTTGTTCACTTTTTCAAAGACTTTCACACATCCAACAACACAACACAACACCATAAGAAATTTCAGGGGGGGCCCATCAATGGAGCCTTAATTGTGTTTGATGTGCAGAAAATAGCAAACAAACGCATAACAAAGGAAAAATCATATAAATCGGCAGAAAGTAAAGGTGAAAATCGCTGCGAAAGTCAGTCAAATCGATGAGCAAGAAAATGGCAAAGGTAACAAAAAACCCACTGCAAAAAACGTAAAAAGTTCCCCATCGATTTTATCAGTTTTGGCTATTAGGGTGCGGTTAGTGGAATATTTTATCATAGATAAGTGATCTCTTAACAAATACGACTTCCGATAATAAAGAAAAGAGAGCGAAAATCGTACTTAATATTATATTTAAGTTTAATGAGAGATTTATTGTAATGTGCTGCTTTATTACTGCTGGTCGGCTTAGAAAGCAAAACACAGAGAAGATTATTTCTCAGCTACAATTAAAATATAACTTCATTTAACTATGTAGATGGAAAAAACATATATATTACACAAGTTACAATTTAGACAAAGTAGACATGTTCTAATGTAAAATTTAGTAAAGATTATCCCTTAGTTTAAATTAAAATCTTATAAACTCTATTTAATTATATAGAAAGAATAAACAAATGTTAAGTTAAATTTAGCTAAAACTATACCTTATTCTAATACATTTTTCTCTATTCCTTTCAGTTTCATTATGGAGAAACCGATGCACCATGCCCCAGCTCCGGCTGCCGTGGGTAAGGTCAGCCAGATTGCCAACATCTTCCAGCGCAAGCCCATTGAGATTCAGCCGGTGGAGCAGTTGAGTGCTGTGGCTGCCGCCCATGCCGCTGCTGCTGCCGCCGCCGCCGCCGCTGCCCACCACGCCCACAACGCCCACGCCCCTGGAACTCCGGCGGTACGCACGGAATCCCATTCGGCCAGATTCAATAACGCCCGGGCTCTGTTCGAGAAACTGGGTGTGGAGTCCAACTCGAATGTGAGTTCGCGTCTGTTGAGAAGTGGTTCGCGCGAGGATAACCTGTGCGACGGCTCGGATCGGTCATCCTCACGCTCCTCGGATCGCTCACAATCGCCGCCCAAACGGAGGACTCCATTTCCCTCCGGCGTGTCACTAGTTCACAATAATAACAATGCCGCCGCCACAGTGGCCCAGAATGGAGTTATTCCCGGCGAACAGCAGCGTTTGAGTAATAGCAAATTTATTGTGGAACCAGCGGCAGCGCAAGTTGTGGTACCCACTTCGGTGGTCAAGTACCCACAGCACAACATATCCCGCTTGAAGTCGGAGGAAGTAACACCACCGATACCACCACCAGCCAGCGGTGGATCGGTGAGTGCTCTGTTTGCCAGTTCAGGCGGTGATAAGCCAGAGAAACCGGAGAGGAAATTTAATTCTCGAGAGTTGATAGAGAAGCAGAAGAAGTGGACTTCCCACTTTACCAAGACCAAAACAACCAGGACGCATAGCGATCTGAATCGCTGCGATATCATACGTACAGTGCCCGGCACGGGACTGATTATGGATAGCGAAAAGGTGGCCAAACCGGCAATGGAAACGCCAAATGCCAGTCCCAATCCGCCAGCCATAAAGCCAAGGAGCGGCAAGATCGGCAGCCCAGTTAAGTCACCGCCATTGCCGCCCATTCCGGCGGTCAAGCCAAAGAATGTGAGTCCGGTGAAGTTCAATCCGGAGAGGATAGTGCGCCAGTCGCCCACAAAAACGGCGGATTGCTCGCCACCTCCGCCGCCTGCCAAATCGGCAGCCGTGCTCCAGAGATCACTGATGCAGGAGCAACAGCAAGAGCTGCTAAGGAATCAGGCCGGAGATCCACCCATTCCACCGGAGAAGCCGCGCAAAAAGTCCGTTGATCTCATCGAGGATGTGCAGCAGCCACTGACGAACTGCTCCACGCCCTCATCCTGCGCCTCGCCCACCAGCTCCTCGTACATAATGCAGCCGGCGAAGAGGGGATCTCTGGATGGCAGTGGTGTAGCCGGCAGTGGACAGTACACCGGCCATGGACTCAGTGGCAGCACCAACTCCGCCACCTCGGGTTCACCGGTGGCCAGTGCCTCCTCGGGTCCATCGTCGCCGGTTCACACGGAGGATGAGAAGCAGGAGAACGAGTCCACGGAGAAGTCGGAGATGGAATACTATCACGGCAGCAACTACAACAGTGTTCCCAGGCGAAGACGCAGCGAAAATGAAGGTGAGTTTAAGGAACAAATTTTAAAACTCATTTGATATAATGAATACCCTATAGATTTTTATAAAATTTATATTTGTAAGCACCTGCAGAGGGGACTTCAGTGAATTGATACATATATTTATAGTACTTGATAAAAATAGGTTTTTCTAATCTTGTTGATAAACTGCTCTCTAAACAGCCAAACAAAACTAATCCAGAGGAGCTATAATTTCCAAGTTGCCCCTATTTTGTTGTGGGCCTTTCCTTCCTCTCTAGACATAATTGATGGCCTTTTGAATCAGGAACCAGAAGCAACTCCGTCTCGGGGCATTCTCGAACTTCCTTCATTTGGAAGTTTTGAACTTTACTGGCTCGAGTTCAAACACCTTCCACACATACTTATATTCTCGTTGGTTGTGTGTGAGTGTGTGTGTGTTTGTGTTTGTGCCGAGCTGCCAGGTCGACTTTATTGTGCAGTGGCCTCCTGTTGTCCTCCACTGGCCCCCAAGACCCCCTGTCCACCCTATCCACCTTATCCACTGGGCCCCAGTCCATCCAGCTCATCCCCAGCCATTCCATTTCATTGCATCCCACATTCATTACAAGTTTTTCTAAGCGGTGTACAAATCGTGACTTGTGCGCCGCCCCAACTCCGCCCTTTCACCACCAAAGGCCCTTTTCTCTCCCCTTGAAAATCCACTCTGTTGCTGTTTGTGCACTGTGAGAAAATGTCAAGAAAATTTTATAATTTTAAGCTGACACTAAGAGTTTCTTTATTAGATGCACTGCTCTACATTAAATGGTTTTATATATTTGTGTATTTAAACTGTTAGGTTTAGAGCAGTTTTTAACTTATCAAATACATTTTATAACATAAACAATATAAAAAATAAAATTGGTCTTCAAAATATTTTATACAATTTACTTAATTTTCTTTAATAGGTTCTTTTGAATAAAATAAGTGTTTAATAGTTAAATTATATAATTGGCGTTATTTTTTAAAGGTTTTTAAACAAGTTAATTATGTTTTTCTGTGTGTGCTCTGGAGGCAAATTCCAATATGGGTCAAACACAGCAGGCATATCAAATGCAGCCCCCAACGACAACGGCTCGACAACATTCCAAGTGCTGCCCTCCGCCTTGTACTCCTACTACTCCTCATCCCTGATGCACTTCATCCTCCTCGTCGAGTGCAATGCTCACAATCTGTCGTCGCCCATCTTCATGGTCCGAGGCTCGTCGTCGTTTTGCGGATTTTGTTGGGATTCCCGATGCCCCATTGCCGCCACCCCCCGCTCTTTTGGGGTCTTCTTGAGCCATATAGGCCTCCGCTTTTCTCTTCTAGCCGACTCCCCACCATACATAAAATTGTATTAATGCCAGATTAAGAATTCAATGATGCGTGGCACTTCTGCCTCCACTCGCGAGTGAGTCGCCTTCACTCCGGTCTTGTGGACTGTGGCTCTGGCTGCTGCTTTTCTTGCCGATCTCATCCAGCTCCAGCAGCTGCTGATTACAAAATTGGAATTTGCACGCCGCACTTCCGCCAGCAGCCCCAAGTTTTCAGTTCTCAGTTCTTAATCTCGGTTCGAGTCTCAGGCATCCCATAGATACCATATTACGATGCTCTTTTGCATGGGTATTAAGATTTTGCAATCAAGATTGCAGGATTGTGGAAATATTTCAATTAAAGGAAATCAAAAATTTTTAATATTTCATTTTAATATTTTGAAAGTAATGTTGTTTTGTAATCTCTCTAATCTTTGGACCTATGGAAATGCAGAAATTTCAAGATCTCAAAAATTATTTAATATTTTGTTGTGATGTCTTTAAAAATGTTACTTTAATATTAATATTTTAATATTTGTCTAGACATTTTTTGGTTTTGTAATTTAGTTTACTTATTCCCATGTCTGTGGTGAAATTTTCATTTAGAAATATTTATAGTTGAGAATATTTAAATCCCTCCTGGCAGCTTGCCCAATATATAGTTGGCAAATTTAAATATTATATTTGCTATATAGCTAATTGCCTTACAACTTGACACTTGAAAATATAATACGATGGGAAAATATTGCAAGCAGACTGACAATTATGGTAGTCTATATTATTTGCTTTTTAAACACTGAAAAAAATGGAGTAGTGAAAATAAAAAAAATTTAATTTCCTGTTTAAGTTATTACAAATAAATATAATTTTATTATTTAATTTTAAAATATTTGAGTTAATATGGAAAATATAAGATTTAAAATGGGCCTATATGATTTAAATTAAGTTTTATTTTATTTAAGTTTAATATGGTTTCAAATTAAATCAAACTTTAAGATAATAAAATCTTTTTTGGTAACAGTAAAGTGAAATTATACAAATAGAATATTCCAATTTTTAAAAACCGCATTGGACGAAATTCAAGTTATGTGTGAAATATTTGTATTAACTACACTTTTTTTTAACCAGTAAAGGGTATTTAAAAATTGGAAGAGCCAGGAAGCCTGCATTCCTTTCTTGTTGTTTCTAGTGTCTGCTCAATTCCTTGAGCTGTAGCTTCTGCCGATGATTGCTTATCTGGGCGATGCGAACTGGGGTCTGGAACGCTTTTTAATTCATAAATGGCAGTGTTGTGTCTATGAAGGGGGCGTGGCTTACCTTGATTTATTGATTTCAATGCTTTTGATGGGCGGCGATGGCGAAGTGAGGAAGGCGAAATGGAATTAAGTGGATTGGATTATGTGCTCAAGTTGGGGTAGGTTCTGTCTGCAATTGCGTTATATGAAGTCCTAGTGGTTTTTCAAAAAGAGTGCCTGATGTTTTTCCTTATTCCCCCCATGTTTATCAATTTCTGTGCTCTTTTTCTAGACCAAACACAATTTTGTATGGCATTTTCTTGTCAAATCGCTGACACAGCAACCGTCATATGCTTAGCGCCATTTACATGCAAATATACATGTGTAGACACTCAAGGGTCCACTGCGCTTCATAAATTTTTTTATCTAAAGTACAGTGGTGGCTGGATAAATTATAATTTTTTTATATTGAAATACTTTAATCAATTTTTACTTCCGAGGTGTAGGTTATTTTTTAAATAGCTTATTGTAGTTCCTTGCAAAGAAATATAAAAGAAGTTGTGATATTCCTTGTAATGATTTTATGACAATCAACAAATATAGCGTGAAGATCTTTATAAAACATATTTAAGTATTTGTTTTCAAAAGTAATATCATAACCTTTTGGTTAATAAAAACCAGGAAATAGCAATGGATTTGTAGTCATATATTTCAAGAGATCCCTGTACTTATAGCTATACCCTTAACGACTGTCAGACCCGAGACATGATGAGAACACATGAATGGGGCATGGACTCATTGGGGGTAAAAGCCAAGCGGGATGGGGAACGAAATAAAGAGAAATAGCAACATAAAGTCGAAAAGAAGGCCTAGGCTTCGGTGCTGCATGGCCCATTTTGAATGGCTTGTGCCCGCCTGTCACATTCAAGAGTTTATAAATAACACGGAAAATACTACTCAAAAACTACTACGACGGCAGCAAATAGATGGGCGGTTTCAGGTGGGGGAGAGTCCCCAAACTATGCACACAAAGAAAACCTTGCAAAAGAAAATTAAGATGTCAGAAAATCCGACATGGCAGCTAATTATTACTAAATAAATTCGTCAAAACATAGGGTTATGAAAACGGCATGAAAAGATATACGTATGTACATTCCTGTAAAGTTTTTAAATAAAATATTTATGTTTTGGCTTGTTGTTTTAAAAATTCAAGTAAAAACATAAACATGTATGTTTATAAATGAATTGTATTAGTTCCTTATATAGTTGGGAAATTTTTTCTTTTTAGCATTCTCAATTTTTTTTTCTCAAAGTGCACATTGTATATACATATGTGGCTTGTCTGTAAATTATGCCTGCCAAAAGTTGCTTGTGCTCCACTTTATTTCAGCACAATGAAACATGATGAGCACAAATATTTTATCTTTTATATATATTGTTAATCCCAAACGGAAGGTATTATTAATCACAAATTAAAAGCCGCTCAAATATTGACAATATGTTATGAATAGACGGGCAAAGAGAGGGGTTCTTATAAGAGGGGCTCTTTGGCTGCATTGTGTTTGTGTGTGACACCTACGCAAACAAAACAGACACAACGTAGACTGAACGCACACAAACACTGGCACACAAAAGTATACACACAAAGGAGCCGGCATCTGAAGCACAAATACCAACGAACTGGAACCAGAAAAAACAAATGCATTTTGGCTCTCTTAAAAGTTTATTTCTCTATTTTAAAAAAGCTAATTTTGAAAATTGTAGCTATATTTTTTAGTGTTAGTTGTTCTTTCTATTGTTGTGGTGATCATTTGTTTTCCTTTAGTTCTTTTTTTTTAGAAAGGTAACTGTATTTTCGGACAGTGTACTTTTCCAACAGTCTCAATGGCTTGTGTCTTGGCTTGTGTCTTGGCTTGTGTACACATTATTTAACGCAGCCCTGGTAGTATTACAAATGGTTTGAGTCACAGCTACTCTCTTAAAATGTTGTTCTCTTTTTATTTTCTCTTAAAAGAAAAAGCTTTCACCTTTAGTTTGTACACAAACCGTACATTCCTTTACTTTTAGTTTTAGTTTCGATAAAAAAAAAATGTATATTATTTGTCAATTTTAAGGTTTTTTCCCTTAAAAAATAAAATAATTAAAATAACAAATTAGTTTTTAATATCTTGCATTTGGTCGATGTCAAGCACTATTTCATTCTTAGACCTAGAGTTCAATGATCCTATGTATGATTTAACGTAAGGCGCGTGGGTTTTTGACATCCACTTGCCGACGTTTTCCCTCACTTTTCCTCTTATTTGTTCGCCTCGATGGACCACCCAACATCTTAGCATTTTTGCCTTTTTATTTGGTAGTTTTCTCTTGGTTTTCGTTTCATTTCTTTTTACACCAACCTGATGACGTCCATTGCGAAAATGCGCTGAAATATGTTCACATCAAAAAAATCATCAAGGC